TGCTAATATAGAACAACAACAACAACAACAACAACAACAACAACAACCTAGTATAATCCCACTAATGTGGTCTGGAGAGAGTAATGTGTACGCAGACCTTACCCCTACCTTGGGGTATAGAGGCTGTTTCCGTAGACCCTAGGCTCCCTCCCTCCAAGAACTCCTCACCTTGCTCTTGAGGTGACTCGAACTCACAACCTCTTGGTTGGAAGTGGAGGATGCTCACCACTAGAGCAACCCCCTCTTGTCAAATTCTTGTTGCTAATATGTGAATACAAAATTAACTAATACAAATACGTGAATACAAAAAATAACTACTAATATAAATATGTGAATATAAATTTCAACTACAAAAACTTTTTGCTCAAAGTCAAAGAAAAAGAACATAAAACCCCTTAGTTTTGTAGTTGCTACTGAACAACAACATTTTGATGATGACAACTGGAATTGTAACTTCTTTTTTAGAAGTACTCGTGTGTACAATTCTAAATAAAAAAGAATTATATAAAATCACATTATGTATAGTTAAAAATCACAAAAGAATTATTAAAAAAATAAAAACTCCTAAACTAAGTTCAAAATGCACGTGTTTTACCTAACATATATTTATAAAGAATTAATTTATCAAAACTTTATTAACAAAAAAACCCTAAATTTTATTAAATAAAAATCCTTCCTAAACCTAAAAGGAGAAATCTAAATATAAATGAAATTAGAAATCAAACGAAACCTAACGTGAATTGCAAGAATTTAATATTGTTACCTTCGTAAACCTAAAAGGAGATATTTAACACTCCAAAATATATGAAATTTCCTATTTCATTAACAAAATAAAAATAAAAACTAAACCTAAAAGGTAACTACTCCTAAATAGTAGAAAATCAATTAAAATAACTATTGCCAAATATTAAGCAAATAACTTAAATTACTATTTTATCCAACGTGAACTCTATTGTTGAAGGGTAAAAAAAGCGAACCACATTTTGCTAAAGGCTTTCGTGCTTTTAGTATAATATAATATATAAACACCTGAAGTTCATAATTCAATAAAGATAGATAGAAGAGAGAATGCCACTTTAGAAAAAAAAAATAACTCTTTGATCTATTAGTTGACTCTGTCTTTTTAACATCCTTGATCTTGATATATTTCCAGGAGCAGAGAAGAAATAAAATAAGAAATCAAATCTGTTTGGATGGAGATTGAGAAAGTCCTATACTCGATGTACTTCCATCTTAAAGTATTGAAAGAAAGGTAGGTAACTTTGTCGAGTTTGAGAGGTGAGGCCATAAGAAAACATTATGAAAGAAAACTGCAATCGCAGTTACTCACAAGACCGTCGTGATCTTCGACTTAACTCCCAAAGGTAATCCACTTGGATATCCAAGGTTTAGCCAAAGTGTAGCTCCAGATCCCACTACTCGTCATATTTAATTTTATTTTAATTTTATAAAAATAGATTTTTTTTTCTTGTTGCTAATATAGAACAACAACCACAACAACCTAATATAATCCCACTAGTGTGGTCTGGGGAGAGTAATGTGTACGCTGACCTTACCCCTACCTTGGGGTAGAGAGGCTGTTTTCGATAGACCCTCGGCTCCCTCCCTCCAAGAACTCCCCACCTTGCTCTTGAGGTGACTCGAACTCACAACCTCTTGGTTGAAAGTGGAGGGTGCTCACTACTAGAGCAACCCCCTCTTGTCAAATTCTTGTTGCTAATATGTGAATACAAAATTAACTACTACAAATACGTGAATACAAAAAGTAACTACTAATATAAATATGTGAATATAAATTTCAACTACAAAAACTTTTTGCTCAAAGTCAAAGAAAAAGAACATAAAACCCCTTAGTTTTGTAGTTGCTACTGAACAACAACATTTTGATGATGACAACTGGAATTGTAACTTCTTTTTTAGAAGTACTTGTGTGTACAATTCTAAACAAAAAAAGAATTATATAAAATCACATTATGTATAGTTAAAAATCACAAAAGAATTATTAAAAAATAAAAACTCCTAAACTGAGTTCAAAATCCACGTGTTTTACCTAACATATATTTATAAAGAATTAATTTATCAAAACTTTATTAACAAAAAAACCCTAAATTTTATTAAATAAAAATCCTTCCTAAACCTAAAAGGGAAAATCTAAATATAAATGAAATTAGAAAGCAAACGAAACCTAATGTGAATTGCAAGAATTTAATACTGTTACCTTCGTAAACCAAAAAGGAGATATTTAACACTCCAAAATATATGAAATTTCCTATTTCATTAACAAAAAAAAATAAAAAATAAACCTAAAAGGTAACTACTCCTAAATAGTAGAAAATCAATTAAAATAACTATTGCCAAAAGCGAACGACATTTCGCTAAAGGCCTTCGTGCTTTTAGTATAACTAGTCTTAGTGTACGCGCGTTACGCGTGTATCCCAAGTCATGAGTAATTTTTTCTTTTAAAATCACATAAATGAGTATTAAGAAAAGTTTCTTGAATTATAAAAAGATTAAATGAAATAATATAATTTTCTAAAAATAATAAATATTAATTCAATTTAGCTAATTCTATAAAGAAATAAACATTATGCTACATAAGTCCTCATAAGCCTTAGAGTAATTTTGATACATGAATTTTATTTTTAGTTTAGAAGTCTAAGCAGAGTAGGTATAATGTATTAATTTGTATTAACAATGCTTACAACAACATTTCATTTTGTCAATAACTCTTAAACTTTTTTTCGAAAACAACTTTAAAAGGTAAGTCTAAATGTAGTTTTCAAATACCTTTTTCAACTTAACTTTATTTTTCAAACTAACAATATGCTTTAGTTTTACCTATTACTCCATTCACTGTAAAATAATTTTAGTATTATATATGTATATTATTTTTAAAAAATAGTACATGATTGAAAGATTTAAGAGAAAATGTCAACGTTAAAATAATATGGACATCCATAAATAGTTGTTTGAATTATAATATTTTTAGTGTCGTTGATAAATTCACATTAAAAATAATTTGATAAAGAAGTAAGAATGGTTCTTTTCTTATATGAAATTAAAAATAAACTTGGAACTTTTTAAGAAGAAATTAAATTGTGTTCAAAGTAAAAACATAACATTTTTACAATTCAAAATATAGATAAAAAGGGTATAAAAAAAAAAATCCTAATTTCGTTTGGTAATCAACTAAAGTTTCCCATAACAGAAGTTAGAGTTTCCTTTTTAAATAGAATATTTTTGTTTAAAAAAAATTGAGTTTTCTCTAAGTTTGATAAAAGACGATTGATGATCACAGCAAACGAAAGAAATCTTGATCATAAAAGTACTCGGATACCTTATTGTGAATTATGCATACTTATATGGAAATATCTTATGAAAATTATTGTTATTTTATGATATATNTACGTTTTGTTTACAATTGATTTTGTCTAAAGTTGGATATATTTCTATTAAAATTAGGAAATAATTAAATGATGATATATTTTATTGGTCAACAAAGCACATTGCTATTTTAAAATTTAAGTTTTCTTCTCCAACAATAAAAAAACTTTTTTTGAGTCATAGCATACGTGAGTTAGGACTAATTACATATAATTTCAAATAAGGAAAGATATAATATGTAGAATTTTAATTGATTTTAAAATCCTAAATTTTAGGAAAATAATTAAATGACTATTTTGTCTAGTGTGAAATTTATTTTTTAAAGGGCAAAAAAGGCGAACGACATTTCGCTAAGGGTTTTCATGCTTTTAATATAGTACTAATATCTATGAATAATTGGTAGAATAAATGTACCTAAAGCAATATTATGTTTTGTCTTCATCTTATAAAAATGAATACAAGGATTTAGACCAAAAAAAGTAATAGACTGGTATGATAAATAATAAAATTGCACGAACAAGAGGTAAAACTGGAACATTCCAAATATAAATCTTAATTAGGCATGTGAAAATACTTCTCAACCAAATTTTTTTTGAAATTTATTTTGAACGATTAATCGTGATATATATAAAGCAAATAAGCAACAACCAAAAGAGGAAAAGAAAAAAGAGATGTAGGGGAAATAATATTTATTTTGCTTTTTAATAATATTTGATTAGAACACATAAAATAATTATGAAACAATAAAGTAAAAAATTTTGAACTGGGCGTTGAGAATAAAATCACCGACAAACTTCTTCTTACGCTATAAGAATATGGTTGTAGATTTAAAAAGTATATGAAGTTTATCACCTAGGATTTGTTGATCGACCACGGTTGATTATCATTATCAATTCAAAAAAATAGGCACTTAAATTTCATGGCATGTAATCGGTGAAAAGAGTCTCTTTATAAAGATATTGGGGCTCTTGACGTTTTGACTTGGAATCAAGTTACAACAGATTGTCCCAAAGTTGATTCAAACTCCCAAGAGGGAAGAGTTACAATGTCACTACAAATCGAAGCAAACCAAATCTTTTCGATTGCAATTCAAATACAATTGGTGCAGGACGTCACCTTAAATTCTAAACGGAACATGAGGCATCTCCCCTATCAATAAGTAATTTAGTTGAAATAGGACGGAAAACTTAATGATAATAGTTTTTCTAAAGTAGGTTAAGTATTTATTATTGAAACTCAAAAATAAAGTTTTGGTAGGAGACTGAAAGTGACGAATTCTTAGCCAACTTGAAAATCTTAAATATTAGTTCATCTAGTATTAAAATACTAAAAGAGATTACAATTTTATCCAACATAGAATGGAGCTTAGTTCTCTTTTCAAAGGGTATAAAACTCTATCAATATTTTAGGAATATTTTAATTGTTTATCATTTAGCGTTTTAATATTTATATTTTTATAATAATATAGATATAGATATAAATAAATATTTTTATAATAATATAGATAGATAGATAAAGATATATAGATAGATAGATAGATATTAATTATTATTAGCATTACTTCGGGAAGTATTATTTGTACGTGTATAGACCTTTGTACAAATATTTTAAGTGGAAACAGTTTGTTCGATACCCAACTGATGCCTCTTCTCTAGAATATTCTGTATACCCTCTCTCCCTCTCAAGCTCGTATCCTTCATTTTGACAGAAGTGACGGCATCTTTTTTCAAAAGTTAACGAGAAACCAAAACAGATGTGAAGACCGTCAGGAACTCATTTGGATTTTCACTTCATTTGAGCGGAGAATCCCATATTCTTGCTTTTCTTCTGAAAGCTAAAATTTAATCAAATCGAGCGGGGTACTCTCTCTTTCTCTTCCTTTTTCTCTGGAATTTTGGGAATCAGATGCTTTGTATTGTTATTAGAACTATAATCATGTCTGTTGACTTTCTCTATTATCTACTCATACACTTCTAGTATTGTTGTACACAAAGATCCAGTGTGTGTGATTCTGAGATTTATTAGTTTTGATAGGCACTGTGTTTTTTTTTTCTTCTTTTTCAATTCGAGTACAAAGTTAAGGATTGTCAATTTAACCACTTGTAGCAGGTAATTCTATTTCCTAAGTTACGATATAAGACTTGCTATGAAGATTTATCTATGGTTGCAAGATTTGAATTTGATGGCGTCAAAAAACTATACACTCCCAGTGCACACAACTTAAATTGATCTATTTCTATCGATTAAACAATAAGGGCTGCATGTTCTAGATAAAACTGAGATTATATCCTTTTACCTATGGGGTGGGCGGGTGGCCACAGCAATATAGCACTTTATGTTTGGTTGTATCTGTAATCTCTCTTTATAGATTGTTTGTGCAGCTTTTCTATGTTAAAAGAATAGAAGAAAAGATCAAATTGTTAGTGAAAAGGGATATTTAAACAGCAAACCGTTTTGATTATACGTTGAACGATTGTAAGATTTTGTGGAAAAAAGAAGAAATAGCATATTATCATTATTTACCAAAGAAAAAAATAAATGAATGAGTGGTACTGTAAATTAGCTAGGCTTACTTACCTACTTCAGTGAGCTGAATCCCTATCCTTTCTCTTGCAAGTCTCAGTTAGACATGGGCTAAGTTGAATTCAATGTGGATCATACCTTACATTCCTCCTCGGACACCTTTGTTCTTGAAAGCTTTTCCAACCATATGACATCAAGGAATTGAAGGCCATTTTCCAAGAAGCGTGTTAGAATGATAAAATTAATATGGTAGCTAAAGAGGCATTTTTGACTGAATTTAGATCATGTTGTCACAATAAGTCTTTATTTAGATGCTCAAGAAACTCAACTGGAAGTTCATCTTTTAAATATCAATACGTTAAGATTCATTTAGTGCCCTAAGTTTTCACCTGAACTTTGCTAGTTTTTCATTCTAATTTGTTGTTTTCCTTTGTATTCTTTTTGTCAAGAACTAGAAGAAATGGAAGACAAGACGAAGTTGATGTCTACCAAGGGACTGCTGCAGAGTCAAGAATTGTATGAGGTACTCTTTTCTTATATGCATTTTGCTGTCCCACTTTTTCTTTCTTTTATTGAAATTACTGATCAGCTATTGTTTTCTCATGGCGAAAGTATATTCTGGAGACTAATGTGTATCCACGCGAACCAGAGCCTCTCAAAGAGATTAGAGATATTACTGCCAATCATCCACGGTATTTTAATGCTCTCGTCATCCTATCCCATACTTGAGATGATTAATCATATTTAAAAATCGCCAAACTTCTTTTGATCATCTAATTCTTTAAACAAGGCAGGGACATTCACCACATATTATTGTTACATATGGGGCCATTTTCAATGTAGCATCTCTACCCTCATTAGGTAGGGGTAAGGTCTGCGTACACACTACCTTCCCCAGACCCCACTTGTGAGATTTCACTGGTTTTTTTGTTGTTGTTGTTATGGGGCCATTTTCAATGTCATTCTTAACATGATGTTACATCTGAATCATGAAAGGCATAAGCATTTGTCTGTTTATGTAATATAGCTGGTTTCTAAAGTGTATCATTTTGCATTTATTACAACCTCAGATGTCTGATGGCGACTGCACCAGATGCAGGCCAAATGATATCCATGCTATTGGAACTAGTAAACGCCAAAAAGACAATAGAAATTGGAGTGTTCACAGGATATTCCTTGCTACTTACAGCTCTTACAATTCCTGATGATGGCAAGGCCAGTATCAACTGTAAATCTTTGTTTTCGCCCTAAAATGTCTTCTCTAGTGCATATAATAACATCTAAACAACTATGTTGGTGCAGATTACTGCCATAGACCTTGATCGGGACGCATATGAGATGGGAATGCCAGTAATCAGAAAGGCTGGACTTGAGCACAAAATCAATTTCATCCAATCTCCAGCTTTACCGGTCCTTGACAAACTGTTGGAAGATGTGAGAAAAAATAACTCAATATCTCTCTGTTATTTCTTGTACTTGGTTCCTAACCCTTTGGGATGGATTTAACAGAATAATGAAAAAATAAAAGACAACTAGAATCATGTATCTTCTTCTTATATGCTGCTTTTCATGGAATCAATTGTAGAATGACAACAAAGAAAGTTATGATTTTGCATTCATTGACGCGGACAAAGTGAATTATCAAAAGTATCACGAGAGACTGCTGCAGCTTGTGAAGGTTGGAGGTATAATAGTATATGATAACACACTGTGGTCTGGAACTGTTGCAATGCCAGAGGAGTCTGTTTCAGAATTATTGAAAGCAGTCAGACATCACACCATTGAATTTAACAAGTTCTTGGCTGCTGATACCCGCATTCGACTTTCTCAAGTACCTTTAGGGGATGGAATTACAATCTGCAGGCGCTTGTGATCGTATATTTTACTCAAATGTCGCATAGTACCTAGAAAGTACTTTCAATCCTTTGGATTTTGTTACTACTGGTGTTTCTTTTACTTTGTTTACCTTAATTATTTTTGGTGTCAATACTTTTCTTTTCTTCAGTATTTTCATCTTAGCTTTCTTCTACTCTTGTATTTTTCAAACCTGTTTTGAAAATGCATTTCTTGAGTCGGAGGTCGGAAACAGCCTCTCTAACTCACACAAGGTAGAGATAAAGTATGCATACACTGTACTCTCCTTAGACTCCACTTATAGAATCACATTGGGTATGTTGTTGTTGTTATGGTTTCTTGTGAATAAATTGACAGATCTGGCTGTACCTGTGTGAATGTATTGTGTCTCTATAGTTTGAAATAAATAAAAATTCTTGTTATATGACCCCATGCATCCACCTTTGTTATTCTATAATGTCTTGCGGAAAGAAATGGATTTGGGGAAGAAAATGAGGTAAAATGTGTGGAGATGTAAAATAAAACCTTTGCTTCTAAAAACTAGTAAGTAATTATACCAGATATCCGATATTTTTGCTTTGGTTTAACGATATTTATATTGATTACAAACTTTAATATATACTTTTTTATCTTGATTTTATTTTTAATTAAATTAGCTTTAGAGTACGCGCATGGTGCGTGTTCTTTATTTCAATGACTATTGATCCTATTTAGCCAACTTAATAAAGAAAAAAATTATATCATGCAAAAGTTATATAGCTTCGATATATGAGTTGTGCAATTGCATTAATAGCTCTAAGAGAGTAGAATAATATACTGACTTGTCAAATATCATATAACTATACTATGTTCTCATAGCCTTAAGAAAATAAATTTTATTTGCTCAAAGTACCTCGTATAAATTTCATGTTATTCCTATTGAACTCAAATTGAAGAATACGAAAAACAATAAGGTACTCCATATATTGTTACATATAATTATCATACAAATAATTTTATTAGATTAGTAATATTTAAATGCAACAAAGTTTACTAGAAAGAAATAAAATGAAATAAATTAAATTATTATATCATTATGATATGAGATAAAATTTGCTTAAATATTATTTTATATTGTTAATGTACTCAAAATAAATTAAATTATTTACAATGTTAGAGTATTATTTAGCTGCTAAATCCTAATGTAGGATCTTGTATTGGAGTGCAAACCCATAATCAGACATTTATAGACAATTCTTAAATAGAAAATTATAATTTGAGATTTTAACGAATATAAAAAATATGTTTGTACCTTTTGTTTCGGTTATATACACTAAATTTATAAAATGTGTGTTTTTTTATGTCACACTAATAAAAGTTCTCAAAAGGAAGTTTAGATATTTTAATGTTTCAATCTTCCTTAAACATGTAAACGCTTGCACTCCTATATAAGTACTAAATTTTAGTTTTTTAAGTCCTAAATATTGGGACCTTTTGCATTGTTTATATAAGGAAATAATTAATAACAATAATTTTAGTTGATTTTAGAATCCTAAATTTTAGGAAAAATAATAAAATGCCTATTTTGTCCCGTATAAACTTTATTTTTAAATGGTAAAAAAGACGAACGACATTTCGCTAAGGGCCTTCGTGCTTTTAATATAGTATAGATATAGATATAGATTAAATAAAAACCTTAACCAAGCTTTTTCATGAGAAATATTTAAATTCATCTCTTTTTTTAAATAAACTAACACACCATTTGGTTCCGATATTAGTTATGCAGAGATTATTAATACAAGATTTGTTTATGGGTAATTAATAACACAAGGATTGTTTATGCGATGATTAATATCACAAGGGTTGTTATGTGAGGATTAATAATAAAAATTTATTATGCGATGATTAATAATAAAAATTTATTATGCGATGATTAATAATGAATACTTTAAGGGCATTTCTTGTCTTTAAATAATATAGTATCCTTATTTCACATTCTATCAGCATAAAATAATACATCAATTCATACATAACCAATGCAAGTATTATTTAAAAGATGCAAAATTGCAACCAAACAAGGTACTCATTCTCTCAATTTAGATGACATACTTTCCTGATTAGTTTGTTTAAAAAAGAATGATATATTTATATAATTGGAAATAATTCAACTTTAAACTCGTCATTTTACTAATTTTATCCTTAATGAGAAGCTTTTATAACCACACAAATGTCATGACCCCTTAAAGTTTTTACCTCTTAAGCTTTTAAGACCACAAATTTCAAAAACTTTTTTTTTCCCTTAAATTCCGTACCGAGTCAAACTACCCATCTAAATTGAAACGGAGAGAGTAGTATTTAGCTATGCTGAATTAATTAGGAGTTTAATTCTCCAATTCAAGCAACCAAACAGGCTCTAATAGTTGCAATTGCACTATTTGTAAAGATTGGTTAAACCAACCTATTTATCATACATTAAAAAGAAATATTAACTGAATTAATCAAAAACGAACTCCTTAAAATTACTTTTTAAAAAAAAAAGCTATTTTAACATCAAAGTAAGGGATGTTTGGTAGTTTGGTCAAAGAGAGTCTCTGAATCTTAGACATAGAAGTGACATCTGTTGTAATTCCCACTCCGTTGCTATGGATATGGATAACCTACCTCCCCCGTTAATCCTCGAAATCCTCAGCCGACTAGCTGACTCAACGGATCTAGCTCGTTGCCGAGTCGCGTCGAAAACCCTGAACGCACTCTCTCGCGATGTCCGATCCATCAATCTCTACTGCTCCTCCGATCGTTACACCAAGTCCCGATCTCCTGAAACCCGGGATTCCATTACACCCTTCAAGCGAATCTTCAATAAACTGATTTCTGAGTTGAGCATTGTGGAAGCCGTTTCCATTGGGGTCGATAAACCTTTCGGAAAGGTGTCTTACGGCGATGCGACACCGTTCGGAATTGCGAATGATTTGTACTTGACGGATGTTAATTTTGTTGCCCACTGGTTGCCTAAGGTTAACCAAAACTTGAGAGCTCTTTCCATATCGGACCTTTGGGTTCAGTCTCGTTGGCAACGATCAAATGTCCTTGCTCTTATCTCTTCCTATTGTGAGTTCCTCTCTCAATAACACATAACCATTTGGATTTCGAAAGTCAAACTAATTATTCTTTGACTGTGATTTTTTAATATACCCTTTTAAATATTTTAAATTTTGTATTATTATGATTTATAGCACTTTTTATATCGTTTTCAACAACAATTCAGTAAAATCTTACTAATGGGGTCCGGTAAGGTTATTGTGTATGCAAACCTTACCCATACCCCGAAGGCTATTTCCGAAAGATCCTCGAGCCAAGAAGACAAAAGGACAAAAAAAGACAATAGACAAAAGGACAAAAAAAGACAATATTAGTATCACCACAACAATTATAGAAAAAATATGAATACTATGAAATCCAGAAGAAAGATTCAAAGCAAAAGCGATAGCTAGTAAATAGGACCTGCACTGAAAAGCAAAATAGTAAGACACAACATTGCCACTAGTTATCTTAGACAAAAACACTACCTGGCTAGTCTCACAATGGTACGAAGTAAGGCAAGACTCAACTACCTCATAACCTATAACCCTAATACTCGACCTTCACATCTTCCTATCAAGTGTCATGTCCTCGGAAATCTGGAGCCTCGCTATATCCTGCCTGATCACCTCTCCCCAATACTTCTTAGGCCACCCTCTACCTCTTCTCATGCCCTTCACAACCAGCCGCCCACACCTCCGTACCGGAGCATGTGGGCTTCTCCTCTTAACATGTCCGAACCATCTAAGCCTCGCTTCTCGCATCTTGTCATCGATGGGGGCAACTTCTCCCGAATATCATCATTCATAATCTTATGTATCCTAGTGTGCCCGCACATCCACCTCAATATCCTCATTTCTGCTACTTTCATCTTCTGGATATGTGAGTTTTTAACGGGCCAACACTCAACCCCATACATCATGGTTGGTCTAACCACCGCTTTATAGAACTTACCTTTGAGTATCGGTGGCACTCTCTTGTCACACAGGACTCCAGATGCTAACCTCCACTTCCATCCTACCCCAATATGGTGTGTGACATCCTCGTCGATCTCCCCTCCCCTGGATAATCGAACCAAGGTACTTGAAGCTGCCTCTACTAGGGATGACCTGTGATTCAAGTCTCACATCCACGCCCACTTCCCCCGGCTCAGCGCTGAACTTACACTCCAGGTATTTCGTCTTCGTCCTGCTCAACTTGAAAACCTTAGACTCAAGAGCATGTCTCCAAACCCCCAGCCTCTCGTTAACATCGGCTTGCGACTCATCAATCAGAACTATGTCATCGGCGAATAGCATGCACCATGGTACCTCCCCTTGAATATGGTGTGTTAACGCGTCCAACACCAGGGCGAATAAGAACGGACTGAGCGCAGAACCTTGGTGTAACCCCATTACAACCAGAAAATGCTCAGAGTTGCCTCCCACTGTCCTAACCCGAGTCTTAGCCCCATCATATATGTCCTTAATCGCCATAATGTAGTGAACCGATACACCTTTTGCCTCCGGACATCTCCAGAGAACTTCTCTATGAACCTTGTCATACGCTTTCTCTAGGTCAATAAACACCATGTGCATATCCTTCTTCCTCTCTCTGTACAGTTCCACCAACCTCCTAACAAGGTGTATAGCTTCTGTAGTCGAACGACCCGGCATGAACCCGTACAGGTTGTCGGATACAGACACTGTCATCCTCACCCTCGCTTCAACTACCTTCTCCCACATTTTCATGGTATGACTCAGTAATTTGATACCCCTATAATTGTTACAACTCTGGATATCACCTTTGTTCTTATACAATGGAACCACCGTACTCCACCTCCACTCATCCGGCATCCTCTTCGCCTTAAAAATAACATTAAACAACCTAGTCAACCACTCCAAACCTGCTCTCCCCACACTTCCAAAATTCCACCGGAATCTCGTCTGGCCCGGTCGCTCTACCCCTACTCATCTTACGCATAGCTCCCGCAACCTCCTCAACCTCGATACGCCTGCAGTACCCAAAGTCATGGTGACATTTTTTACATTGTTTTCAAATATGTAAAATTTTATTTCGAAAAACATAAATATTCTATGTCCAGTTGTCAGCTAACATGTCAGTCTGGAATGGTTGTTGCCGGAAGAACAAAGAGTTCTCTGTATACAGTTGAATTCCCCACCCACGGAATAATATATTACTCCCTCTGGTTTAATTTATGTGGTATTGTTTGACTCGGTATGAAATTTAAGAAAGTCTTTATGTGGTATTGTTTGACTCGGTATGAAATTTAAGAAAGAAAAGACTGACTTTTGAAATGTCGTCTAAAACAAGCCATAGATCTTTCTGTGGTTATAAATCATCTCATTAACAGCTTGTTTGGATGGTTGTTACTTGTTGTATCGTATCGTATTGTTACTTTAAAATTTAAATACAATGTTTGTTTTAATTGTTACTTAAATTTTATTGTATCGTATCGTTAAATCCGTCGTTACGTAACAACGAAAATTGTCACTTTATGGAACGACCGATTTGGTGTGGTCACGTCGTTACCTTATTTTTTCCTCTCATCTTGCCTTTTCTTATTATTAAATAATCTTATTTTATCCTTTACCTTACCTTTTTATATAATAATTTATATCGTACCTTACTTTTTCTTTATAATATTGTTAGTTTATTCTTCATATTGTTAGTGCATAACATCGTAAAACGATGGCAAACAATACAATCTATCCAAACATTGTATATATCAAAATGATACAGTACAATACAATACTATACGGTACATTATAAAACGATACATAACAATCATCCAAACAAACTGTAAGGGTAAAATTAGAAGTTTAAAGTTAAATTATTTTTAAATATATTACTATGACTCAATTTTTGTGGCATTGTTGATTGGGCATGCAATTTAAGAAATAAAGTAAGACTTTTGAAACTTTTGATCTTAAACAAGCTATGTATCTTTGTTTGGTTATAAATCATATTATTAAGGATAAAATGAGAAGTTTAAAGGTAAATTGCTTCTAAATATTGCATGTTTCAGTTTTCACCTTGCTCTTCTGTGATTATATTTTATACTTGTATTTGGGAAGGGGGAAGAGGTGTAACAAGTGAACACCCCCATCCCTCCCCTTAAATAAGGATAGAAAAAAATGGAAATTGATAATAGGCAGGAAAAAGGGACCAGTCTTTCACTTTGGTTTTTCTTCGGTCTCAAGAAAGCAAGAGAATGAATAACCAAGAAAAACGAAGGAAGGAACTTTGAAAAGGAAACGGAATTTTAACTTTATTAATTTTGAATTTTTTTCTATCCAGTGCATTCCATGTTATAGCCTAATCCTAGCCCTTAGATCAACTAAATGAATTAAAAATGGCCTTCCCCTGCATCCAACGATGGGGAAAAGGAACTCATTATTTACTCCCATGATAGTGATGTATTGTTCTTTTTGTCTCAGTTTCTTGAATTACTGTTCTTGCCTTTGTCATTTACGTTGAGCGATCTGGTGATCTTTTGATGATTAGAAGTAGACATATATGAGTGAAAGCCAGGAATACTGAAGTGTTTTCTCGTGTATGCAGGCCCTCATCTTCTTGAATTAGAGATTAAGAATTCTTGGCTGTCCGTGGATGGTTTGCTTCTGATGCCCAAGCTTACAACTTTGACACTGGAATTTATTACGTTGTATGATGAAAACCTAGACAAGGTGAACCAGTGCTTCCCATATTTGCAAGTTTTGAATCTGATTGGGGTCGAAGGACTTAAAGAACCTAAGATTCATCTCGAGCACCTCAAACATTGTCATTGGACAGTGTCAAGCGGCCCACGTTATTTGACTATAGTTGCACCCAAACTTGTCCAACTCAACCTTCGTTGTGTGAAGCCAAAGATGCTTGTTATTGATACCCCATCCCTGTCTTATCTACACCTCACTCTCCAGGGAGCACGCAGCCTCAAAGTGCAAGAGTTTCACAACTTGGATACCCTGCATCTCGTGTCACCCGACCTTGGCAACCTGCTTTGCTCATTTCAATTTGGTAGAACCGTTAACAATTTAGTGTTGGGTGCAAAAAATCGAACAGAACTATTAGGACAGATAACATTTTGCTTTGAAATGCTGTTTGTTGAATTTCCTAATGTTAAATCTATCACTGTAGCACCTCAAGTTTGGGCAGCGTTTCAGTGGAACTTTTCTGTTGGTGATTTAGAATTAGAAGTGAGGACATATCCCAAGGGGTTGAAGGAGATTACTGCATATTTGATGATGCTTAATGTTGACATGACGTTAAAATTCATTTCCCATATAGTGAATAGTTGCACTAGCTTATGTGACATGGCATTGTTTATTCCCCGTGGTCTTCGCTCTAATGATGCCAGCGACTTCATAACAAAGTGCACTGCCCAATGTTCGAAGGTAAGGTTGAGATGGGGAACATGGAAAGAAGGAACAAAAGATGCCTGGATTATTGATGGCGTGTAGTCATTCAGACTGCCTGAAGCTTCTTTGCAATTAGAAAGAAGATTGATTTATCTGTTTGGATGTTCAACACTACTCGACAAGAACATTGTTTCCTTCAAGTTTGGTGTAGTACTATAATCTCACGGATTACGGACAACACTAAAGCAGTAGAAACGCAAAATTTAGCCTGTACTGTTAGTGCCAGGGTAAGCTTTCTGGTTGGTTGGTTGGTTTTTCGCTGGCTTCATTTGTTGCATCTTTGGCAGAGGCAGGCTCAAGATTTGGAAGTTGGGGGCACCATTGTCGAATAAAAATTTAAGCAAATGCTGGAGTAGGAATCGAACTCCGGCAGCGCATTAAAAGTCAAGTTGTTGATGTTATTTCTATAGAAGATGATGACTGGTGTTCTTAATTGTGATCGGTTTTGTGCCTAAAGTAAAACGTCATGTCATCGTTGATGCTGTGAATTAGTACCCCGAAAGTTAAGCTTTTGCCACTAAATTTTTTCTATTGCTATAAAATTCGAAAAATGTAGAATTAAGTAGCTAAAGAAATCAATTGCATTCTGTGAAAAAAAACAAATAAATTGCTTTCGCCTCCAATGTTGGTTGATGAATCTTTGTAGTTGGTACCATTCAAATAAGTGGAGTACCTTTTTATGGTGTAGAAAATGAATTAAGTTTAACAGTGACTATTTAATAAGGTTCTTTTCGTGTTGCCTTTATAAGATTGTTACTCTATATTTATGACTATCAAAAGAGTTGTATTTTTTAAGGAGCGTTTAGGTGGTGAAAACACATGCTTACTCGCTCTTGCCCATATCTCCAGCAACTCCCTGAAAGTCTTTCATATCTGAGTCTGTTTATAGTCAGTGAGTCATGGAAGGAGCTAACTTATTTCAGAATTAGTTGTCAAGAAATGGAAGAAATTAAAGCAGCCACTACCTCTCTTTGTTACGTGACACTATTTTCTTAATACGAGATAAGTCTTTCTGCATTTAAAAATAATTTATTTTTTTCAATTTACTTTTTAACGGTAACATAGTTACACGAAATGACATATGAAAGAATAAAAGTTCTAAAAGTTATTGTTTTTTTTTTGAATTTGTGCTACTTTTCTGGTTTCTGTTGGGGTTACAGATCTATTGTCTATGACCCGAGTGTCTCCCGAAAACAAGCTCTCTGTTCCTTCGGGGTAGGGGTAAGGTCTGCGTACATTCTACTGGGTTGTTGTTGAATTATGTGCTCCAATAAAATAAATTCACATAAAGAAACTGAAGGAATACTTTTTACTGTTTTAGTAAGTAAAGGAAAAGGAAATTAAAAGAAATAGAAACAGTTTAGAAAAATGTAACGCTAAATAGCATCTGTAAAAAGTGGGGCGTTCCGAGAATCGAACTCGGGACCTCTCGCACCCAAAGCGAGAATCATACCACTAGACCAAACGCCCAAGGTACATTATTTCGTTATTTATTTCAATATTTATCAACAACATACTAATTGGTGATAGGTAAAACCTCAAATGTAAATGCGATAGTGCCAGCTGGACAATCGATTTGGAAGGTTGTGAAAAAGAACGACTGCTTTCTCGTCAAAGAGTTTGAAAATGAACACTCATACTTACGGTTCAATAAAGAAAGCAACGATATTTACGACGTTAATTCCTACAAACACTCTGATTTGCCCATTAAACACATGATTAAAATGCACACTCTTATCTAGTAGGCGAAGTGTGATTTTCTTTTTCTTAATTTATTTTTTCAGGTTAGGGTGGAAAGTTTATGCTTAGATACACTAATGATTCACCGTTCAGCTAGAGAGAAAGAACTCTTCAGTTTTTCTGTAACTACTATGATTTGATTTAAGAAGCAGAATAAACCTGTTTTATTACTTAATGAGACAAGTGAATGAGTATATCTGTTTGAGTTAATCATTTTCTCATAGTCTTCAAGCTATTCTCCATAAAGCCTTTAAAATCCCAAGGGGGCCAATAAAATCGAGCATGTCGTGTGTGTTATCTTATGATCGACGTGCTGTTTCAGTGTAGTGCAACACATACTTACTACTACGTATTATTAGATGAAATTATCTTTATCGCTGTTTGCTAGTTAAGCCTGACTATTGTAATATAATGCCCTTTATAGACTTGGGACGTATGAAGGTTATTACGATTAGCCTTAAAAAGGTGATCCTGGATTTTGAACATGATCTTTGCATGCGGCAGTTTACTCGTTATTGCTTTAATCATATTCTTAATTATGTACTTGAAGCTGTTGATTGGTAATTAACTTTTTTTTAGGCAACATTTATTGGTACCTTAATACAAATGGTAACCTGTTATAACATGTCTACATTGATGATATAACATAGAAAACTCATAACATTATAACATAAATCCTTAATGGTCACTCTTATGGGTCAGCTTGATTCTTGCTGAGAAATTTTCATAAAGCACAACAATTTAGAACTTAATTACTATGCGTCACTATAGTTTGCCTAATTATCATTCTTAGCAACTATTCAATTGTTACCAACTTGTATCACTCGCTCTAAATAGTTGTATCACACATATAATATACTGAAATACAGTAATACATACAGTTATTATCATTGTGTGTGACTCAAATTCACTCTAATGGTTGTATCAATGCATATAATGCACTGAAATATATATATGTATAACTATATGTAACTCCATACACTGTATATACTATATTTAATGTTGGAGTTTTGCTACAAAATAGAAACAGTAGCTATCAATTATAATTATTTCAAAGTGCATTTATGTATGGTAAATACATTGTATAAGTTAGTTACACCATTTAATTTTTCCATTCTTGAATATGACAAGTGTGATCTTTACACAAATAGTCAGTCATATTCATTATTTATTTTTTATAGCCATATACATATATTATACAATGATTATATACAATTATACATATATAATATATAAATTATTCATATATTATACCTCCACCGGCTATTTTTAGTTTAATCAGTTGGGTGGATGACTATTTGGGTTAATTCTTCATGACAAAATTCTCTTTGGATCTTTGAAGAAGGCCTGGCCCTGAATAGGACTTAGAAGCATGGCCCATATAAACCGGCCCAGATATTTGGTCAGTGAAATGAGGAAATGACCCGAGATCTATAAGGGCGGGCACACAGCACAGCTTATATAATGGAATTATGCACAGCCGATTCCATCTTTCCCGCCTCAGAGCATTTTCCCGCTCGGAGCAAAACCCTAACCAGCGAAATGGGGACGAAGCATCACTCTTCCTCCTCCTCCGATCCAATCGACGACCCGAAGAAGCGCCGTCGCGTCGGTTTTGCTAAGACTGGTGAGTATTCATTCACCTCTGAATCACTTTTCCTTGGTTCATTTCCTCTTCTTCAGTCTTCAGCTGCGTTTTCTAGCTTCTCTCATCATTCACGTCGTCTTTGCTTGATGTTCTTTTTCTATGCAGATACTGGAATTGAAGCCAACGAGTGCATTACTATATACTTAGGTTTGAACTTTACTCTTCTCCAAGGAAAAATTAGTCAACTGTTCTGTTCAGTTTTTTCGGAGTGGTAATGTTACTATCCTATCGTTTAGCTTCCAGTGAAGTGAAATATCCAGCTCTTAACATTCTGGCTTGATAGTTTGATTTTCACCATGAATTATTTTATTCCTTTTTTTTTTAAATGTGAAAAAGGAAAATCCTTTAGAGTTTCTCTTTCAGGCCTCTATGTAGAGTAAGAATATTTAGGTTAATATTGGCTGGAATTTAGAGTATGTAAGTTTTCCCCAAGTTAGAGATTAATGAAGTTCAATCTAGATATTGGTGTTGTACCTGATCTAGCTGCTCATTTGCTTAAGCTTTGGCTCTGCCTTGGTCTATTCATAAACAAATATACACTGTAGGCATGGATTTCGAATTGGAACATAGAGTTTCTTCTTTAATTCATTGGACGTCTCATTTTCTTTTTTCTAGAGGCTTGCTAAAGAATAAATGATATACATCCCGATGATTGGTTTTTCTCATTCATCATTAGGTTTAACTTGGACCTAACACATTGTTTAAAGTTGAGATGCTTGATAATATAATTTAGTTTGGCATGATTTTTCTTTATTTGGCTTTGGGAACCTGTTTCTCTTCCTTACTGGTCCCATAACACGTTGTATTTTTTGCTTGTTCTTAGTTTCAAGTAAAGAGGATGTGGACTCCCCAAACAGTTTCTGTCTTGAGCCAGTTGACTTGAATAATTTTTTTGAAGACGATGGCAAAATTTTTGGGTATCAGGGTCTGAAGGTAACCCTCTTTCTCAGAAGTGCTCTTTGTGGCTTACTTATTCCGAGTTCATTTATTATTTAATTTTTGTTCTGGATACACTTAAAAGAATCTTCAGACCAAGAAAATAATGCAGAAAGTTGTCATGTAGAGTGACATGAGTGTCCAGGTTTTTGGACTAAAAGAGATATGATGTGACTGCATTTGTGTTGGTCTGTTGGACATGTATCAGAGAGGTGTCTGATTGGTGTTGATATTGGACTTGATAGTAACTAGAGCCTGCTATTAGAATGTGGTGTTTGCTTCCCCGCCACAAATTTCCTGACCTGCCCTTTTATCTTCTCTCTCTTACACGTCTCATAATGGATTAGGGATGTTGGTCTATCAGGTTAATGGTGAGATTGCATGGTTTAAGGGAGGACTGCAGTCCTTAGCTGGAAAAAAAGAAGGGAAGGACTCTATATTTGTGAGGAGAGAAGAAAGAGTTTTAGGGTGTGTGCGAGGGTTTTTGAGGTTTTGAGATGGGCTGCAAGGTGGCTAAGGTCGTGGATGGGATGAGTATCTAAGTTCTGCTTAGTCCTTCTAAAGTACATTTGCTATCATCTTGCTAACATGAGCTACGCTACATCTTCTGGAACGGAGATGAACTCAGGAACTTAAAGTTCTAGACTGCACCGTCATCTCCCGTTGCTGCTTATCTAGATATCAGGTTGCACATTTGGTGTTGGCTTCTCACCAGAATCTTCTGTTTCAGTGTCTCTTAACAGGTCTGATCCAATAAGGATACAATTTTTTGGACCAAAAGATATATAATGGAGACCTTAGTAATGATCTTGAATGAATATCATAAAGTTGGAGTCGCCCAGCACAAACAGTCAGAAAAAGTTGGCCCCTCTCCACTTCCATTTGGGGGGGGGGGGGGGGGGATGATATAATGTATAATTGTTACATAACTTTGATAATGCTCTTACTTGTATTGATTGTTCTTTTAGTTGATCTTTTCATGTCTTCCATTTTGCAGATCACTATTTGGGTTAGCTTGATATCCTTTCATGCTTATGCTGATATTTCCTTTGAAAGCTCATCAGATGTGAGTATCCTTTTTTGCTCCTAGTTTGCTTGTTGCTTTTGCTCCTGCCATTCAAATTTCTTATGTATAAACGAGTGAACTAGATTCTAGTGATGCTAAACAAAATTGTTGCATTTTTGTCAATGTCCCTATGCTTCGCCAGAGGCGGATTTAGGATTTCTAGTACATGGGTGTACTACTAAATAAAGGATGAGAAAATGTATTAAGTGGGAATTGATCGCTATCCCTCTTGGTAAATAATTAAACCTTCAACCACGTGCACCATAAATATCTAATTTTACGGAGAGACCATTGGTTCACGTTCCCCATAGTCTCTCCTGTAAATCTACCCCTGTGCTTCGCTCTTCTATTGCTTTTGCTCCTATCACTCAAGTGTACATGAATTTTAAGGGTTGAATCTCATTGAGAGTTATTTCAGAAGACTTTCTGGATATATCTCATTACAAATGGTTCTTTGCAGTCGAATAAGAGCCAAAATGCAATTCTCTATGAAAGAGTTACCTCTCGGGATTTGTGTGACTTATTTCTTACTCGCTTATATATGATTTTTTTTTTCTTTTTTCTTTTTCTTTTTTTGGATTACTAGGGAGGAAGAGGTATCACAGATCTAAAGTCTGCTCTACAGGTAATGACTATGGATTTTCTCTTAGTGTTTATTATCAAGACAGGTTTTAACTGTGATTTTTCTAGCAGAATATTTTTGCTGAGAGTCTCGTTGATGAAAAAGATGCCTTCCTGCAAACATTTTCAACTGAAAGCCATTATGTCCGGTTTGTCCATAACTTTCTTATACCTTTTTTTTCATGTCGATTCTTCTTACCATCCATGATGAATAATATTTTTTTCTAATGCTTGCACACAGATCTGTTGTCTCAAATGCTGAAGCATTGCAGCTTAAAGTTTCAAATGGCTGTAGCACTGAATCTAATTGTCTTTCGGTATCAGAGCCTTTTGATGCAGAGGTGTCTTCTTTGGCCGTTTTCTTGACTTGTTAGGATAGAGATGACAATAATCATATCTGTTTTATGCCTCTAGTCTAGTGCATGTTTTGCATAATATCTTTCTTATGTGTTTCTCTTTTAAGATGTTAAGGGTTTGGAACAAACTAGTACTAAAGCAGCTAAACTACATCTGCCAATCCAATGTGTTAGCTTGGAATATGGTGAAGGATATCTTCTAGACATGGAATAATGATTTATGAACCATATATATTAGCGAACTTCGTTCTACTATTTGGGTATCAAATGTTATAAAAAGCTACTCCTGCCTGATTGGAAGCTTCTGTCTGTGTCTGTTATGTGCTCTCTCAAAATTTGAAAGTTCACTTCCTTCTGCATGTGTATTCTTAGCATGTTGAGTTGAAATATTATGTTTGTGTATTTTGTGACAAATAGGCTGAGGATTGATTATCCTTCTCGGAATTGGTCCAGGTATTCCGGATTGTTGGCATGCCTGTAGGACACCTTTATAGCAGATTGGTGCCACTTGTACTACTTTTAGTGGATGGTAAGGGTTGTATGCTTTTTTTTTTGAAAAAAGTATTATTTATGGCTGGCTTCAATTCTTATAGCGGTGTTTGTAACCAGGTAGCAATCCTATTGACATCCTTGATCCTAGATGGGAGATTTATCTCCTAATCCAGGAAAGGAAAGATACCCAGGAAGAAAGCCTTTCAAGGTTGCTTGGTTTTGCAGCTGTCTACCGTTTCCACCGTTATCCTGAAAGTAAACGCTTGCGACTTGGGCAGGTAAATAATTGACAGTTAGGCATGATCATAACATATATATTTTATTGATATAGCTCTTTCTAACTTGTAACTGATTTGGATTTTGGCAGATACTAGTTTTGCCTCCTTACCAGCGTAAAGGTTATGGTCGTTTTCTTCTTGAGGTGCTGAACAGGGTTGCAATATCAGAAAACGTATATGACCTGACTGTTGAAGAGCCAGAGGATTCTCTTCAACATGTTCGATCGTGTATTGATGTGGAGCGTTTGCTTGTATATGACCCAATCCAGCAAGCGCTAAACTCAGTTGTATCACGTTTAAAGCAGGAAAATCCTTCTAAAAAAAGCTACACTTGCAAGTATGGTCCTCCAGTGAATGCTGTTGAAGATGTGAGGAAAACTTTGAAAATCAACAAGAAGCAGTTTGAGCAATGTTGGGAGATTCTTATTTATCTTAGCTTGAACCCAATTGACAAATATAGGGAGACGTACAGGACAATTGTTTTGCACAGAGTAAAGGCTGAAGTTGTTGGGAAAGATTCAGAAGGCAACGGGAAACAGGTGATTGATGTACCAACTGAATATGATCAGGAGATGTCATTTGTGATGTTCAAATCGCAAAATGGTGAATCTAGTAGCATAGAGAAGGCTGACAANCAGCATAGAGAAGGCTGACAATCAAAGTAATGTGGAGGAGCAGCTGCAGAAACTTGTGGATGAACGATTGAATCAGATCAAGTTGATTGCAGAGAAGGTTTCTGTTCATCGGCAATGAAGTCAAAGGCAGCTGCTATTTCACATCCTAACAGATGCTTACTCCAAAGCCGATGATGCAGCCAGCAGTTTTGGAATTTACAAAGATGTGGCTGTAGATGAAATCGGCTGTATTTGATTAGGTTAAATTTGTCTAGTTTCCGATATTGTTAGAAACTTGTTTGCTTAACTTGTGAGCCATTTGGATATGAGGCAGCTTTCTGCACTCTCCCTCTATTTTTTTTACTGATGGATTTTATCTTGTAGTTTAAAGCATGTAACGGTTATGTGCCAAATGAAGCAATTAGGAAAATATTTTAATCTCAGCACCTTTGGCCGATTTACAGTTTACATCAATTGACTCACAGTTCACATTAATGCAAATCCAACTGACGATCATAGCCCACAAATTGCCTATTTGTATCCGCTAAAGATCAATCCACTACATCTGCTTCTACTGGAAATTGTGGCTCCTTTGGACGAGGCCGAGGAAAACGTGCTATACCACGCCTCAACTTGAAAGTGGAGCCTCACCCTATACCTTTTAAGGTTGTTTGGGTGAAGAAAATACCTAACCCGTTACCCAAAGATGCCTTATGATACATTTCCTATTCATACAGGAAATTAACAAGATGTGTACTGTGACATGTTACCGATGAATGTTGCTCAAATATTCTTTGGCTTGCTATTTGATAAAAGATGCCATTAACCATGCTAGAGAAAACACTTGCTCCTTTTAAGTTCAAGAGCAAGACAATCACTTCCAACGCCTGCTAAACCCCATGATCTAATTTCTAGGTCCAACAGTGGGTCATCGTCTCAGAGTATTGTTCCAAAGAGCTTGAATTCTTGTCACATCTGTCGCGGAAATGACAACTAGAAAGCGGATTTTTTCCAGCCCTTGTAGCTAAAGACCCTCTTCTCTCTTCTCAAGCATCTCGTTCATTCTTCTCACAAGAGGTGCACTCAATTCTCCCTGAATTTGAAGTTGTGCCTGAGAAACTTCCTAATTAGCTACCTCTTCCGAGGGACATTTGACATGCCATTGACTTTATCCCTGCAACTCAACTTCCCAAGTTACCACACTATAGGATGAACCCTATAGAACAAGTTGAGGAATTATTAGCTAAGGGATCAGTTAAACATAGCCTTATTTCTTCAAAAACCTTGTAACTTATTCTGACATACACTTGTCCAGAAATCCACGACCTCTTAACAGTATTTTGCTTTAAATTTTCTAATTTGCCCCTTCATTTATAAGAGCTAATGTCCAGAATAATGTTTCTTTCATGCAAGATATTCTCAGCAGCTAGTTTAGGAATTATTAGCTACTAACTCTTTCATGCAAGATATTCTTTCATGAATAATGCCCTACTTTTGCCTGGCACAAGTGTTCTACTAACTCATCCTTTTCGAAGCTCTAACTTCGTAAGATGATACATAGATAAAGAGTCAAGACACCAGGAAGACATGAAAAGTAAAGCAACACATTCGATAAAACATGACATACAACAAGACCACCCAATGTAGTAATTCGGTTTTCATTGTCCACATTCAAATTGGCATTGACACTAAATCTTCATCTATGATATAACTGTCAAGTAGAACATCACTTGAACAGATTTTAGCATAAACCTCAAAACACATGTTGCTAAACCCAAATACACAACCCATTGACCCAATACTGAAGCCACAATACAGATGTCCAAGTTGGACTACAAACGCCACTAGTGAATCAATATTAAGTTAACTGGGATCAGCTATAATCCTCACTATTCATCGCAATATCAATTTCCCTCCATTTGGACCACTCAATTCCAATGTTCAATTGCTTACTGTTCTTCCCACAAACTATGCATTTATAACTGTAGCTACAAACCAATTTATAACAATGGGAAACAGAAAACAGAAGCAAACACATAAAAACTCATGGTAACACCTCTGATGCTTGATAAAACATAAACATTAAGTACCCTGACAAAATTGAAAGTCTCATAACACTAGGAAAAGAATGAAAACAGCATTTAATATTAGCATTCTTCACTAACAACGACAGTTTAGTCCTCATCTTCAATGATTTTGGTACCAAGACCCTTCAATCCCTCTGCCGGGATCTCTGCAACAGTAACCAAAGAGTATAGCTCTTCCTTTGCATCCTCATCATCATTCCTCTTGCGAGCAATACGAACTCTGACACGCCTTGGAACACTTCGGATACCCCTGCTCCATATTTGCTTGTTCAGCTTCACATCCACTCTTACATCCTTGGTGCCCATAGCTTTCTGTGCAAACTTCCGGATCTCCTTGATGGCTGTTGGGGCCTTCTTCTTGAATGTACTGTTAGCCAATACAAAAGTTTAATGTTAGACAACAATCCTATCATAAAGACTCACAGGATCAAATTACTAAATGGTTAATTCTTTTCTTGACAAGTACAAGAAAAGGTCAATAACAGAAAAAATGGCTTACTACACCAATAATGAAGGAAGGCCTTATAACAACTTTGATAGCCTAAGAAAGAACTTAAACAAGAGAGGACTGAGGAACAATCTTAAAAAAGTCAAATCACAAAATATTGCTTAGAAAACAGCACTATAACTTGCAAAACCTTAGAAAAGAGCTCAAACCACAAAAGTCAGATTCTTGAGAAGGGGGTTGCTGCAAAGCAGCAAATAAGTGGAGCAACCTCAAGTTCCTATTTCCAATGTCGAAAGTATAACGTAAACAGTAATGTTCTGCATTCGCTTTGTGGCTCACAAAAGGAATTGCTCTCAGATTCCTAATCGAACACCAAACACGATGTAAATAACCTACAGAAAAGGCTAGCTGAAACCCATCTTTATCCCAGTCCATGGCAGAGACAACGTGAACTGGGACTATAAATCACAGCTTAACACGCTGGTTAAGAAATTACAGTGAGCAGCACATCGAAAGATGACCAACCACAATGGCATTAAATACTGAGGGAAAATTATTTAAAAAATGGTTTTATTAGTTAGCAGTAGCAGACAGCATATGTCAATAAAATTAAATTAATGGTAGATAAAATCAAAAAATGAACAACATTTGCACAAACAGCAATAATTCTTACATGAACTAAACAGAATCAGTCACTGCTGAACATCATCTAGAACTCAAACGCCATCCATTCAAATACAAATGTAACTAGTAATAGTATCAGAAAACACAAGCCCAGACTAATAACTACCAAAAAGGGGGACCAGAATCTAAGGTGGGAAAAAATGGAAGAATATATAAAAGAGAAAGTATACCAGCTATGTAAGCGCTTGTGGAGGTTGATAGTGTACTCCCTCGTCACCACCTCTTCTTTTCTTCCTTTGGTTTTGTCCGACATTTTCTCTTACCCTTTTCAAAACTTACCTCAGTTCCTGCATTCAAGTAACACAAAGTCCTTAGTTTCCTTAAAACGCTAAAATAACTTCAGATCTGCAAACAAAAAAGACCCTATTCTATGTCAGATAGAGACAGATACAAATGGAGAGCGCTTACTAGGGTTTGAAGGAAGGAGGCAACCGAGCGGGCCGAACAGTGGAGACGATGAAACCGACTAAAATGAGTAGCTAAAGGTGAGGGGGACTTATTAAAACCCTAGTGGCATGTAAGTAATTATATTGTCATTCTTACGATGTTATACATTGGGCTGGGCTCAACGCACTTCAAGTCCATGTTACTTTGGGCTTCTACTTATCCAACCCACCTTTGACAGGTCCACACAATTTTGAAGGTAAAATGACACTGTATAGCCGCTTTGAAAATAGTAGCCGAAAAATATATATTTATTTACCCGTAAACAGTACAGTTGAATTTATAGTGTGGACAAGCGAATGCAAGACTTAGCGTTGAAATCGAGATAAAATAGCAGATAGTTTGGTTCCGGGAGCAAGAAGGCAGCAATAAGAATAACGTTAGACAGAAAATAAAGTATTATTTAGATTAGAATAGTGTGTAGCATAAGTTTGTCAGAGATTTCATGTGTTACAATGGTTGTTGAAGCCACTATTTATAGTTATACCTAGGGAACAAGGTCTTAGGATCAAGCCACTCTTAAATGACAATAATGGGGGCCATTGATGAATATGTAACGGCAGGTCATGAATGCCAAAATTCTCTGTAATGTTTGCATATTTAATACTGAGGAATATTTTTCATTGAATGTCATCTGGTGACGAGTATTCGTTTGCTCCTGTCGATAATCTTCCATTCGGGATTTACCTGGTGCCAACCGAAACTGTTGTCCTCGATCTTGGTTTTCAATCTCTTCATCTTCCGTCTGCCCCCCTCTCCCCCGATTCTACGTGTCACTCTGTTATTCGAGCATTTAATATGGACCGATTTTACCATATACAGATAGTCCCCTTGCTTTCCCGTAGCACATCTTTGTGTCACCGGGAAGTTGGTGAAGATTTCTTTCTTGGCGGAAAATTTTCTGAACCTTTCTGAAAAGTTTCTGACGCTTGATAAGACGCACGTCTCTTCGCATTTAATACCCCGGACACTTGTTACCCCACGATTTAGCAATATTTTCGCCGATTCTCGAGGTAATCATGGCCACGATTTAAGCCGTCTATTCATGTACTTATACGCCTCATTCTTCTTCCTCCACTTCTATCAGTTTCATAAACTCTTTCAACTTCTTTGCATTCAACTCCTTTCTGTTTTCATCTCTCTTTGATCTTCTTACAAAACAACTCCTATCATCTTCTGCTGATTATGGCTTCTTACCCTAATTCTTTCAAGAACTCCGGTCTTTTCTTCGGTGGGGCCGATCAAATACAAAGAGGTCGGTGTTGGTGTTGATCCTCTACGGTGAGCACCACCATCCCCAAACATCTCAACACAACCAAGGACTTCGAAGAGAAGTTTCCTACTTCAAATCCTCGCA